TGATCCTCCTGCCTCAGCCTCCCAAATAACTGAGATTACATGCCTCTGCCACTGGGCCTAGCTTTCTTTTCTCTATTTTCTTTCTTTTTTTAAATAGCCTTCTTGTGCTTGAACTAAAAAGTATTAATAGTCTACCCTCTGTTTTGTTTCGAGACAGGTGTCCCTGTGTAGCCCAGACTAGCCTCAAACTCTCCATCTCCCTACCTCAGAGTCCCACATACTGGGATTACAGGTGTGGGTCACTACTCCTAGTGCCTAAGTAGGTATTCCTTATCTCCCCTTTCTAGGTCAGAAGGCTCTCATAAAAGAGATTGTTTTATTCACTGCCTTTAAGTTTGTGTGTATCTTGGACCTTACTCTTGCCCCCACACACATACTTCTTCTGATTTATTCCCCCCAAACACACTGCTGTCTGGACATTTTTCTCCCTTGGCCTACTCCACTCCCTTTTTGTCTTTACCAAGTGCAGCTTAGTGTAAAAGTTTTCAGGAGACCTTCAAGTCAGGTGGTCCCTCCTGCCTTTCTTCTCTCCGTCTTCCTGACCACCAGCACCAGCCTTCCTCGCTTCCCTGCCTTGCTTTGTGTCAAAGGCATTTGGTTTTGGTTTGTTTTTTTCTACTCTAGATCACCTCACTTTCAGAGAAAACAAAGGGTGTGCCACAGGGAGGGCACTGTGGGCTGGTGACATCTCAGAGTCCACTTTGCAGACGGGTGGGAGAGTATGGCAGTTGTCAGGTGTCCTCACCTGTCCTGGGCGGGGCGCTTAATCTGTTCCACATTGGAAGGTGACAAACCTGGTTCTGCTCCTGGGGTGGCTGGGTTGAAAGGCCACGAGAAAGCTATGAGTGTGCTGCCACCAAGATCAAAGGTAATGGGAGCCATGCTCTCTCCTCCCATGTTTTCCTTACTGATGGGTGGTGAGCATTCTGTGTAGGACAATTACATTTGCTACTAAAATATTGCCTCAAAGGGTTTATATGAATGAGGGCCTTCTCTCTCCTACCTGCTATTCTTCCTGGACTACAGTTCTTCCTCATTGATAGTGGAGGTGAAGTTCTTATGCTTTTGTTTAGCTTCATTAGAAGGCAGAAGTAATTTTAAGGAAATGTCAAACTAAGAATACAGTTATTTCCCAGAACACAGACAGATAAGTAAGCGCCTGAGGGTTTGGGGAATAGGAGTTATCAAATCCCACTATGTCTAACAGCCAGTAAAATGTTAGGACAGCATATTCCCATTTTATAGATAAGGAAGCCAAGGCTACATACTATGTAGCTAATGTACCAAGCCACAGTTCAGGCCCGGGCCTGACTCCAGAACGGCTAACCTCACCTTAGAAATCCTCAGGGTTAGAAAAGGCTTGCACAGTGCCAGAAGATACTCACTGCTCCTCCAGGATTCTGACTCTCTGGTGACTGATTGATTTTGCTTCACAGGAGAGCTGATAGGATCTGACTCTGCGCAATCTCCCAGAGGAACTTAGAGCTCCTCTCCCAGCCTTCCTGACAGTTCAAGTTTCTGTATTGTGTAAACACCACCAAATGGCTGAAGGCCGGCATTCCTTCCACCTGTGGCAGTCCCCAACTGCTTCTCACTCTGAGAACAGTTCCTTCTTAAACAAAGACTAAACTACTCTTTTTTTTTTTTTTTTTTCCTTAACAAAAGCTAGGTTCTGTTACGAAAATGACTCTTAAACTCTTCTCCAAGCTTCATTGCAAGGGAAATGGAACTATTAAAAGACCATTGCTCTATAATTGAGGAAATTGAATCAACTTGTTTGGAGGCATAAGCAGAGGAAGACTTTGAGCTGTACTGAGACTAAACAGTGCCCTGCTCTGACGTGGCTCTGGGCAGAGCACCCCTGAGCCATCTCCTCACAACACTGCACAAGTTTCCCGTTGCTGCCTTGGCCTTCCAACTACACTCTCCTACTGCTTTGTCAGGTGTTGCATTTTGGGCTACGACTTAATGTTTTGTTCTTTTTCTGTAATATTTGAGGTATAAATCCCCCACCTCCATTTATAGGCAGAATCGTACTACATAGCCTTGGCTGGCCTGGAACTTGCTATGTACACAAGGCTGGCCTCAAACTCGGCTATCTACCTGATCCTGCTGGGATCAAAGGCATGCACCACCATGCCTTTTAATAAACAATGGTATATATTACCTATAGAGCTTGAACATGGAATATCTGAGGAAAAATACTAATTATTGCCAGGTGTGGTGGAACATACCTGTAATCTCTATGCTTGGCAGGCTGAGCCAGGAACATAAGAATTAGAGACCAAGTTACACTATAGAGTTTCCTGCCTCAATAATAATAACAGCAATAATGATGAGCAATTGAAGGTATAGCTTAGTTGAGTACTGGCTTGCCTAGTATTCAGAGACCCCTGAATTTGATCCCAGAAACTGACTAAACTGGGCATAGTGGGGACACTTGTCACCTCAGGACCCTTTAGGGAGGTTGGGTGATTGATGTGTGGATTCACCATACTGTGTTCTCTACTATTAGTATATATTTTAAGTTTTCCTTAATACAAGGTTTATTCTATAAGCCTGACTTCCATTGTCTGTGCTGTTTCTGTACCGCTGTGCCAGGAGAGCACAGTGTTCAGACTGAAACATATTGAGCAATGAGGGAAAGGGTAGGAAAGAAAAGCATGTTTGGATTAAGAAGCTCTGGTATTCTTCCTAGTATGATGGAGCCTGTGACAAGAGCAGCCAGTCATATTTTAGCATCTTGATTACTGTTGGATTAGTGATATTATTGCAGAACATGTGAGAAAAATTTTAACTTGTTAATATTTTCTTCTCCATATCAAAATGACACAAACTAAATGCAACTCCAAATCCTCATGACACAGTTACGGAGTTGTCCAATAGCAGTGGACAACTCTAAGATTTTTCTAAGATGCCTGTAAATAAAGCAGCAAGATTGCTGTGTTCTTCTCAGTGTTGTGCTAGCCATTTCTCACGCTCCCAAACGTCACTGTGCTCCAGGCCCTGGATCGTGACACACAGTAGCAACATGGAGCTTTGTAACCCCCAAAATGAAGCTGATGCTGCTGAAGAAATGTGAGGGTTGCTATTAATGTAAAATACAGCAAACGACAAAAACCAATGATTTTGAGTACTTACAATAACAACAAAACCCCATGATATATAAAAATTTTACATGTTGAGTAGGGCGGTAGTTCCCAGGCAGGGCAGGAGGATCTCTGTGAGTTTGAGGCCAGACTGGTTTACCGAGTGAGTTCCAGGACAGCCAGGACCACAAAGAGAACTCCTGTCTCAGAAAAAAGCAATTCTTACATGTCAAAATGAAAACATTGTGGTTACAGTGGAGTTGACTTGACTGCCCCTCCCCCTCAGCATCCCCAATGGCATAGAGTACAGGTGCACACCTCTGTGCCTTGTTTGCAGGGTTTAAACAATTTTTTTTTTCTTTTCATGAGGCTGGGGGTATAACTCAATTGGTAGAGTACTTGGCCTGGCCCACATAGGACCTGGGTTCAATCCCCCGCACTGTATGAGCCAGGAATAGTGGCTCGCACCTGTAATCCCAGCACTTAGGAGGCAAAGACAAGGGTCAGTCCTGCCTCCATACCAAGTCCGAAGCCAACCTGAAACCCCAATATATTAATTTCACTTTTTAAATATTTTTATATGTCATTGATAGAAAAGTTAAGTTTACGTAGGTACTTCATAATTGTATTGGTCTTGCTGCCTGAGTATTTGGCAAACACTAACCAGAATTCAGTCTATTGAATGTGAGCTTACATCAGGCATGACCAGCTCAGTACACTGAGCTGCATGCAGTTGAGAATAGTTATCAATATGACAGCCTGAAACAGAATCAACTACCCTAAAATATTTTGAGTTTTTTACTTTGTTTTGCTTTGCAGTTTTTTCCTCGTAATGCTTTCGTGGGGTTCTTAGGTACAAACTTTGTAAATGTCATCAACCGCTCATAGTGTCAAAAGATTGGACACATCAGCTAGACGATTTGTAAGTTACAAGTGATTTCTGTTGTGCACAAAGACAACCCCAGAACTTCATTTCATGGTTCTTGTAGGGTATTAGATAGGTTTGCTTCTGTCTAACTTAGTGGATTTCACTCATGTTTTATTTTACATATTAGTTAAGTCTCTGATGGTTGCAACAAGCAGGATCTTGTCTCCCGTCCAAGCTGAAACTACATAAATCTCTGGCAACTCTCTAGTTCTTCCTGTACCCAAAGAGATTATCATCCCTATTAGCGAAATTACGTAATAAATATAAATATGAGCGGCATCTGTTTATTTTATGTGTGCATCTAGAATTAGGACTCACTGAATTCATTTCCAGGACTGTAGAGGCCTGACAAGGAACCGAGGGGTGCAGAGTGTCAGCTGTTCTCCTTCAGCCTATCTGCTCACCTGTTTACTGTTAGGTTTAAAATTCCAGACTCCCATCCCTGAAGACTCCTATCATCCCAGTTCTGACCCCTCCGAAATGCTTGTCATTTGACCAGCCATAAGAAGGTTGCTTAGGTTCCTGTGTGAGTTTTTTGTTTTGTTGTTTTTTTTCATGATCCTTTATAAAAATACCTGAAGCTGCTTAACAGTAACCCTCTCTGCTCCTGCTTCAGAGCACGTGCAGTCACACAGCCTCTGGAATACCTGTTTTGCTAGTCCTTCTGATTCACATTGGAAATGGGCTAACAGGCTGGAGCAAACGGTTCTGTTGGGCTATTTAGTGTGCCTGCTGGCCTTCATTGCCAGCTCACAGCTGAGACTCTTAAGGACACAAAACAATAATAGTGGTCAGGGGAGACCTAAGGCTGAAGCTCCCAACCCCTTAACTACAGGAAGGAAGGAACAAGCTGCAGAAGAGAATGTCTAGACTGAGTAAAGCTGAAGCCCCTTTTTCCTCACCCTCATCCTTTCTCCTGTGTCTGGGGATCTGGAGGGTTGCTCTGCCCGTGAGTTATTAGGCATGATGTTTTCTTTTATTAGGTTGGAATGAGATACAGAAACCTAATCCTGAAGCCTGGGGGGTCTCTGGACGGCATGGACATGCTCCAGAATTTCTTGCAACGTGAGCCAAACCAAAAAGCATTCCTAATGAGTCGAGGCCTGAATGCTTCGTAACCTGGGGATCCTGGGAGCAGTCTGTCTGGAGGACAAGTCAACACCGCCATGTGGTGCCGGCCTGGAGACTGAGGGAGTTTTATAAACCAAACTTAGATTTCTATTGATTTGCTTTTGTTTTTAATTTTAAAAATTATACAGATGTAAATGGATTTATAAATACTGTGACCTAAGAAAAGACCCGCTAAAAATAATTGTACTGTAAAATTTCATAAAAATGGATTTGATTTCTTTTGATAAAAGTTTCATATGAATGTAATTTGATTTTTTTACTATTATAATCTAGATAATATAATATAAGAGGGCTAAGAATTTTTAAATTGAATCACATACATGATATAATTTGATCCTTCTTATATCTAGAAGTTTTATACTTGAGATTTCTGGACTGATAAATGAATCATCACGTTCTCTCTATTAAATATTTTCTCGGAGCCATGCGCCAGCATTGACCCTCTGCTCACAGCTAAGTGAGACTTTACCTGCATGTGTCAAGGCTAGTGGAATACACCTTGGTGGGGTGTTTGTCTTCTGTACGGTGGCTTCATGGTTCTCGGCTTTCTGTCAAGCTTAATCATGGTCCTCTACGTCGTAGATTTGGTTTTTTTTCTTTCTTTCTAAAGTTCAATTAGATAATTTTTTGATTTAGTTTTAACTGGCCCTAATAGGTAAGTTTTGTGTCTTGCAGTAGAAGCCCAGTTGCGGTCCGAATGACAGATGCTGAGTCTCGGATGCAGTCAGAAATGAAAGTAGAGCAACTCAGGCATCTTCTAGATTTTCATTTCTCTTATTTTTGCTGTATATTTGTTTCTCTTGATTTTGCTTTTTGTTGGTTTGTTTTTTGTTTTTTGTTTTTTTTTTATTTTGTTTGAGGCAGCATCTCACCATGGGAGTCAGGTTAGCCTGGAACTCATGGTAATGCCCCTGCCTCAGCCTCCCAAGCCTTAGGGTCACAGGTGTGAGTCACCACATTCAGCTCAGGTCCCGTGTTTTTGACAAGGGATTATGACCTTGATGTGTCACAGTGTGTTAAAGTGTCGTGGGGAGAGGTGACACTGAGTGGAACCAAGAGCTTTAAAAACTCCACAACAATGTGGGCTGAAGTGGAGCATTTGAGAACAGCTGCTCCCAAGTGTTCCGTGGGCAGCTGAGCCGTGGGGAAACGCTCTTCAGTAGCCTGTTTCCTATGGTGACTTGTAAGTGAACCTCCAGATCTCTAACTCTTTTCATTGGGGCCTAAATTTCCAATTCAGCAAGCAGACAAGTAAGCTAACACCATTTATTTTAGCTCTGGGAGTCTACTCAAATAGGAAACCCAGTAGGAAACTGAGAAGAAAATGTAAGTGAACTGTGAGTATACTTTGCATCAGTCTTCAAGTTGTTTCTTAACACAGACCTGAAGAATGACTTTACTGGCCTGGGACAAAATTAGAACGTTTCTGTTCTCTAGACCAAGGTGGGCTTTGTGTTAAATAAAATATCATGTTGTATAATAAAGTTATGCACAGCACAACCGAGAGCTGGCAAACAGAAGGAAAGCCTTTTTGCGTGTAGTTTGATTTGGTTTTTGTAGTGCTGGGCATCAAGCCTGGCTTCTTAACCCATGACAGGCACGTGCTCAGCTCTCTCCCGCTGTTTCTATGGGGCGGTAGAAACTTGGGGAAGCTTCTCACATCTTTCCCTTCCCCCAACTCTTGTACCTTCAGACCAAAAAAGGTAAAGAAAAAAAGCCCCCAAAACAAAAACTCTCTTCAGCATTTTCTGTTATTGCCCAGTGTGTCTCCTTCAGAATAACTTTATCTTACCTCACCTGGAAAAGCTAATGATTGGTATGTGAAAGACAGCACACAATAAAGTCACATCATTGTCCACGAAAATGAGCTCATGTTTCTTTCCTATTTTAATATTAAAGCTTGTATCTACAAGAGAGCAAAGGCCCAGGGTCTCAGCCTCCCAGCCATTTCCAGTGTCGCATGTTCCAGGCAGGGGCCACCATGCTCTGCTCAAGTTTGTATTTGGTTGAATATCCCTGCATGTTCTCTTTCCTCCTGAGATACAGGTTTGCTACAGCGGTTCAGCTGTGCTCTTTCTGTGTTCTCAAGCTTTTCCACTGGCTATTTCCAGATACCAGGGGCTGCCCTAACATTTTACTGCTGAAATGCAATGTCTGCAGCACATGTCGTGAAAGGAGCTGGATGCCCAAGAACGTTTTAAAGAAATTGTTCGCCCAGTCCCTCAAGACACTTGCTCTCTCTGTCAGCATGACAGCTTTGTGGTTGAGAGGTAGGACCAGATAACCTTAGCTGACTGGATCCCTAGCTAGTGAATAAAGAGGACGTTTCAAGTCCTTTGGCTAAAAGCAAGAAATTCCACTAAAAAGCATTAATTAATTTCTAAGTAACAGCTGGAATAGTTGCATATTACTAAAACTAAAAAGACTCCATCATAGAGACAAAAAAAAAAAAAAAAGAATAGTTAAATCCCATTGCCAGGTAAGGGTTAAGCCTTACCAGGACAATGTTATTTGGCAAACAAAAGTCTTGGCAGTTTTCTGGCCAAGTTTCAGTAGCAACTCACTGTTTTGACACGTGTGGGGAGGGGCCAGCGGGAAGCACAAAGTCTTTAAAGAGTGAACTGGAAGAAGTTTGTATCCAGATCAAAAGTCCCTCTGGATTCCAATATGGTAAGCTCCCATGAGGAAGGGAAGACTGTGTTCCATCCTAGGAACTGCATTTTTAGCAGGCTTGGGGTAAACATTACAGTGTTTGGAGAAGCAGGAACAAGACGGTGGTGACTTTGAAAATAGCTCTCAAGAGGAAACTTCGTCTGAACAGTGAATTCTCATTGTTTCAAATACTTGCACAATATGGGAGAGCTGATGTCATGGCTCATGATGTTGGAGCTTCAAGATACAATTAGAAAACAGAGGGCCTCAGTCCTTTATAAGGAACAGTCCCTAACTATTCTGCTGCTGTGTTTATGAAGAACCTGCAGCTTCCAGGCGTGTTACGTAGATCTCCACAGGTAATCTTTGCGGTTTCTTCTGTGGTGATCAGGAAGACATCACGTAGGTGAGAGGTCCATGTTTGGGGTCTTAGAAAGGGTATGGGAATGGGGACATGGCTCAATGGATAAGATGTCTGTCTGGCCAGCGTGAGGACCTGAGTTCAGCGCCGCCTCGCCTACGTCAAAGCCAGGTGTGGCGGTAGATGCTGTGACCCTGTGCTGGGGACGGCAAATAAGTGCATAATGCGCTCAAATAAATGACAGTACAATGTGGGTATTAAATGTCTTTGTTTTTTCACCAAACAGTACAAAGGAATGTATTAAATGTCTTTCTCTGTTTTTTTCACTCAACCCTAATTCATTCCACAATTGTATCATTGTGCCATAGAATTTTAAGTGGTTGCCATGCCATCTGCCGCCACAGGCTTTTCCAAACAAAGTGATTGCTCCCGTCCCCTTTTTTATGGTTCAGTAGAAAGACTAAAGAGTGTTCTTCCATGCTGGTTAGACTCTGTATAAATGGTTCACAAATGCTCATTGAAAACATTTTGTGATCAAAGTGTTGTAAATTAGAGGAACAACATGGAGTCTTTCTGACCTTGGGGGTATTATGTACCCCAAGACACTGAGGCATCCAGTGAAGCCAGAAAAGAGGTAGTTAAGAAGAGCAGTTGTTTAGAGGTGGGACAGAATCAGTCATGCCTCCTTAACCCTTCCTCCTGTCAGTGTTAGTAGTTCCCATTGCTGCTAGGAGCCTAAGGAAGAGCACTTTCCGTTCCTCGTTGCCTGGTGTCTGGGACTTCCTTATTGAGGAAGTCAGTGACCAGTTAGAAAAGCTAAGCGTTTCACAGTTCATGGCAAGGAAGAAGACCTTAAATGCATGGTCCATTTCCTTCTATTCCTTTAAACCATAAATTTCATGGAGTTCCTTGGTTCTGTCTACCAGACATGTTATTTCCTTTAAGCAATAATTTAAACCTTGGAAGAGATTACATACATCACAACTGAAATGCCTTTAAAGAGACGATATGAAAAGTAGGTTTCCCTCCCACCCTTGTCTCTGCCTGTCTAGTTCTCCCCCAAGGTGGATGTATCACCTTCTAGAAATGCTTTACGCATAGACAAGAATATGCCTCACTCTTCAAGCAGCATCTTACAGACACCTTAGAGATCTACTTTTTAACCGGTGCTTGCCTAGTATATGTATGTGGCTCTCTACTGAAGAATATTGTCTCCACTCTGTTGGTTTTTGTTTTGTTTTTCTTTCAATGTTGAGGATTGACTCTGGGGCCTCTCACATGGTAGGTAGGCAAATGCTTTCCTACTGAGCTACCCCGCTTCCCCCACTGACCTTATTTCCAATCTTCGGACCTTTTTTACAGCGTTGCCAAGATTATTTTCAGAGATGTGCTGATTTCCACATCTGCCAGTTTATCTGCTAAATAAATTCTGAAGAATGTAATTCCTGCCTCAAAAGATAGATATATTTCAAATTTTGACAGATACTGTCAAATGAAAGCCACATGTTTTGGTAGTATTTATTACAGTTGTTTAAACACTGGGAAAGTAAAAATAAATAAGGAAAAGTGATGATTAGCAAATAGCCCAGTCCTGCGCAATATCCTTTATAGAGCTTTCTTCTTCTGTTGGGTGACAAGAAAAGATCACTTCTTTCAGAGGATGGTAGGAGTGGTTGCAGGCAGGAATGTTCTCTCTGTTAATGATCGGGTAGGTCCAAGGAATGTCAGACTTCATCCCAGAACAAAGCCAGCATCATGTCTGTGTGTGTGTCCAGGACAGAGTGGAAAAAAGCAAAAGATGCATTTTGTCATCCTTGTCCCCAGTCAGATGCCGTTTGTGCGACTGACAAGTGGGACTCACGCTGTGACACACGGTGTGATCGCTGTTCTCAGCACGCACGTGGCCCACTCAGCCGCAGCTTCAGTTATAAAATCTTCAGCCAGAGGCTGTTGCTTCCGTTCTGTTCAGTTGCCATTCCAGTTAGCCAGTGGATTTCCAGCTGGGCTCAGGTAGCATTCGAGAACGTCTCACAGCCACTCCCACTAAACCTTTCCTTTTGTAGAGTCTGGTCACCACTCAGGAGGCAGATGGGACCTGGGAGAATGGACCCTAAAAACAAGGGGGACTAAAGTCTCATGCAATAGCCACCTTTAATCAGAACCTTTAAACTCCATTTAAACTCTGAGGCTGAAGAAGAGGCACCTGAGTCGAGACAATCACAAGGACAAGCTGCACGTGGCAAAACATACTTCTCTAGAGTCATAAACAAACAACAGCCAGTTGTAACCAGTAATCAGAACTAAACTCACTCTTAGCCACTGCCCCTGGGGGTGGGGCAGGAACGCACATTCCGAGAACAGTTCTGTTTTGAAGAAACGGGTCACAAGACTCTGGTCTTTTTTCTTGGAGTTTTCTCACAAGCACTCAGAAATATTGCACGGCTCCATTCTTGGGCCATGTTCTAACAGAGTCCCTGATCTGTGACATTTTTCTGAGGTCATTTGAGGTGAGCAACTTTGCGTTGTCCTTTCTAAACCCACCGTGGTTTGGGGAGAACAGGCGAGGCCTGGCAGTGTCTTTCTAAATGAAAGGCAAGTTCCACATTTACAGAGTACCCACCGTCTGCTTACTGTCACATGGCTCTTAAGTGGAAAAGCTACACCTGATCTCAGCAGCCACAAGAAGTCTCTTTTTACCCCTGCCTCTTCTTCCTTACTATTTCTTTCTCCCCAGAGTCCCACACTTACAAATGGAAGATTCCAGATAATCTGCACAGACACAGAAGTCTGGGGCAGAAAATGTTGGTGAAGTTCTGCAGAACACATCTAGATGCCTTTTAATTGAGGAATGGGGAGAGGGGGTGGCGCTTTTTACACAACACTCCAGTTCTAAATAGTAATCAATGTCCTAATGTCTACAGGCAAAAGAGAGGCTTGGAAGAATCAGGGTAAATGTAAAAGGAAACTCCTTTCCATCAAGTCTAGACAGGGGCCGAGGATGATGACTCCATGGTAGAGCACTTGCTTGGGCCCTAGGGGTGAAAACAGTTGTGCTGAAATTGAAAGGGCCTGAGTAGCTGTTCATTGCTAATCAACTGATTTTGCTTTGCTGCTTTGGTTTTTGTTTGCCTGCGGCACTGGGCCTTGCCTACCACTGAGCTACATGCCCTTCTGCTTACATTTTGAGAGGGTTTCACTTGGAAGCCCGGGGTGGCATAGGACTCCTGATGCTCCTGTTTCGGCCTCCGAAGTGCGGTGATCACAGACCTGGACCACTGTTCTCGTCAACCTGCTGTTTCGTTTTGTCCTCAAATTTACATGTTCTTTTGTGGGTATGTGTTTTTGTGTTGAATGCACATAGGCCACAGTACATGTGTGAAGGTCAGAGGGCAACTGGTGGGAGTCTGTTCTTTCCATCTACCATGTGAGTTCATCAGCCTTGGCAGCATGTGCCCTTACTCAGTGAGTCATCTCTGTAGCCCCCAACTAGTTGCTTTATTTTGTGTTTCCCCGGCTCAGCCACATTTCATTGAAAGCAGAAGCACTCGTGAAAAGCACAGAGAAAAGCACACTGCATAAGACTTTCCAGGTGGGAACAGGGGATCTGAAATCCCTCCGCCAGTTTGAAGTAAAATAAATTGTTCCAGAAAAGCCAAACTGCTCCCTCTCTGTAGCTACTGAAGGTCAGGTTAAGATGTGGGAGGAAGCCAGAAAAGGCATCTTGCTTTGTAATGCAACTCGTGTTGAAGCCTACAAAGAAAGGCATGGCCAGTTCTGTCTGCCCCACTGTACCTTGCCAGGATTGAGCCGGACACACTAACAGAGCGCACGTTCTCCAGTGCCGGTGGCTT